GCACGACGGGCACCTCTGGCCCCTTGTCCGTGGGGAACTGGACTCCGCGATGAGGTGCAGCATCTCCCTTTCCGAACACGCACTCCAGGCACCATGGCTCGAACTTCGCGTGGGTGAGCTCGTGCTGCCTTACGGCCTCCGCGCCTGGCCTCTCTGGGATATTCAGCGTCCTCGGCACCTCGGGATCGACGCCTTCCTGAAGTCGCCGTTGGCGCTCCTCGAGGGCCTCTTTGACCTTCATCTTCTCGTCCAGCTGGTGCTCACACTTGACGAGCCTCTCCCACAACTGCTTCTTGGTGCCGTAGATGGCTGCATCAAGGATCCCCAGCCTCCTCAGTTCCTCCAGGCGTGTCCTCAGCGCCTCGACCGACGACTGGGAACCCAGGATCTCTCGTGGAGGTCTTGCTTGTGGTGGTGCAGGTACAGCTTGAGGTTCTTGCGGTGGCGCAGGTGCAGCTTGATGTTCCTGTGGCGGCGCAGGTGCAGGCTCTTGCTCTTGAGCCGCTTGGTCGACAACAGGCGCCACCCGATGTCCGCGAGCACCCGCCTCCAGCACGCGACACTTCGCGTAGAAGCTCTTCCCGATCATCGTCAGGGGCATCTTCCTCTGGATGCCGTTCACGCTCGGCGGGGCCATGTAGCTGTTCCCCGTCTCAAGGTGAATGGCGGCACCTCTCATGACCCTAATGCCACAGCTGAGCACGGGCTTGCTGAAGTCGCCGATGCGGAATCGGTTCGTGGCCATCACCTCGCGGCCCGCCTCATCCAGGAACGCGATGCCGACGTCCCGCTCGCCGTAATCCTGGATCTCGTCGTTCGTGGCCGTCCTCAGCTCCACCTTGGTGGGGCCTTTGACGTCGTCGCTCGAGTGACCGAAGCCAAGGGGGGCATCCGTCGGCATCCGACCCGCTGTCGATCGAGACCCACACGTACTTGCTGCCGTCGTCGATGGTGTTCACGCTCTCGGTGACGCCCATGACCCACAGCTCTTCCTCCTCGTTGACTACCCCCTTGACTTCGGCACTCTCTGGCTTCGACCTGCATTCCGAAGCCTTGTGGCCTTGCTTCCCGCACTTGTCGCACTTGATGCGCGACCTGCAGTCCTTGGCCTCGTGGCCCAGATTCCCGCACATGTCGCACTTCTTCTTCTCTTTGCCGCCCTTGCCGCCCTTCTTGTCCCTGACATTGCCCTTCGAAGTGTTCGCTGCTCCACCACCTGGGGCCCAGCAGTCTCATGACCAATGGCCTCGCTTGCCACAGTTCTTGCAGCTGTCGCGATCCACATCCCGACCTTTTCCAGCGTCAATCCTCGCCTGCTTGCCGCGCCCCTTGGGGGGTTTGAAGATGCCGCCCACGTCGCCACTCTCGTTCACCAGCCCGACGTCCATCGGCGTGGGCCCATCGTTCGAGTACTGGATGCCGTGGGGCGCTCCTGTGGTCTCGTAGACCTTGCCGCTAGCGATGTAGTCCGCGACGACCTTGGCCAGCTCGGTGTAGTCCTGGCCGATCGCCCCCAGGGCCTGGCGGACCACGGCCTTCACGTCCTCTGGAGCCCACCTGACCACGACAGCGATCCTCGCGCCTTCCGTGACCTTCTCCAGGGACTGGGCCTCGTAGAGCGAGACACTCTTCTCCCACTCCTTCCAGGCCGCCTCCCAAGTGCGGACGCCGCCTCTGATGGCCGTCTCCCACTCGGGCTTCAGCACTCCCATGAGCATCGCCGTCAGCCTTCCACCAGACTTCGGCTCGCACTCCTCCTTCAGCCTTTTCCAGCCTATGGCCCCGTTGTTCTTCGGCACCATCTGGAGAATCGTGAGGGCCTTGCCTCTCGTCGTGGCAATCAGCAGGTGGTACAGCACCTTCATCCTGAGCTGGACCCTCTCCGACTGCGCCGCCCAGCCTAGCTCCGTCTCTTCCGTGACCTCGCAGCGCGTCATGATCTGCTCCAGGTCGACGAGCCCAGCCGTCGACTCGAACACGAAGCACCACTGCCGCCATTCCTCATCGGCGCCCGAGAAGATCCCAATCCTGCTCAAGATCTTCGTGTCCACGATGCTCTCGAGCCGTCTGTCATCGGCTCCAGCTTCTGGCCTCTGGGCGCCCTCGGTCAGCCTCTGGATCTGGGCCGCCTGCTCGCCAACTATCCGCTGCAGCTCTTGTAGGGCTGCTTCCATCGCCGTCGCTGATGCAGCAGATCACGCTCCTGCTACCATGTTAAGCGGTATGTGAGATGGTGGCTGGATGCTTTTCACCTCAGGCCTGGGCGTTCTTGAGCTTAAAAAACTACAGTCATCGCACGTGCATGCAACGCTTCATTGCCCTCGCTCGGAACCTCTCGAAACTCAACACCCAAAACTTTCCCTCTGATGCCCCCGAGAGCGCTCCAAAGAGACGTCAAGAAGCATCCGGGCACTCCTCCTTAAGCGCGCCAGCCAAAGCAAAACAGCCGAATCGGAATTGAACATCGTCGTAGTTGAATTGCAGGGACTTCTCAGAAGTCCGGGAGGCTCCCGAACCTTCTGAGAAGGCCTTCTCCTACTCACGTTCGCCCCTCGCTCGCTCCCGAAAGAGGCCCCCAGATGGCCCAGATGTTCCGGCGCTGGCCTCACCGAAGGAAAGCCACACATCCGAGCGACGCCGAGGAGCCCCAGGGCTGGTTCGGTCTCCCTCCGCAGCTGGAGAAGTTATGAAGAAGATCCTGGAGGCACCGCGCGGCAATTTGAAATCTCATGTGCGTCAGATCCACGCCAGATCCATGTCGGACTCACGTCGGACCTCCGCCAGCACATTGCGGCGCGAACGTCGTCCCATATCTGACGGGGCGGACGTGTCGGCTGTGGACTTGAGAAACCAACTACATCGGCTCTCCGAAAGTATATTCCGATTTCCGAAAAACGGCGCCGCGCGAATGCAGAGCAAACGCGATGCTGGAAGGGCGCGGGAACGCGCGCCTCCTGGACAGGCGCGAGCAACCGCGCCCCCGTGCGAACCCCGATCCCGCGAGCGGCGCGCTCCCGTTTGACAGTGGCTCATTGAGAAGCCGTTTCTTGCGCAGGAAGTCCTGCACGGTCGGCCCATCGGCGGCTCCTTCGGACGAGATCCGGAATCACCGAGAAACCGTTTGCCATCGTATGTTCTAAGCGGTTTGCCCATGTTCGGTTTCTACGGAGGGGACCCGAAGACGTCGAGATCGATGTTTTTTGCGAAAAGTCCGAGCCGGTTCGCACATTTTCGGGTCGTTCGAACTTGACCCGAAAATTTTTGTTGTGGCACAAGTCCGATTGATTTGGCCACTTTCAGATAGGCCGATAAAATTCTCGGGTCGTCGCATGACCGAACCCGAAAGCTTTTTTCGAGGAAGTCCGATGCCGTCTGCTCATTTTCGGGTCCGTACACCTTTTTGGATTTCAAAATTCTAAATTCCGAATGGGAACCCGATCCCGTGACCCCGGGCAGGGGTTGCGCTCTGCCCTTGCATTGTACTGGGCCCCTCCGGCCAAACGGGGTGCCGGCCTGCCCATTCGCGCGCCGACTCTGCCCTCGCGACATCGCCCCCGTCCGCCCTCGGACCCCGCGAGTCTCATCCTGCGTGCGCAATCCCAGATGGCCCCGGCGAGCACGGTGGCGAAATTGGGGAAGCTTTCGGAGCGGCGCAGTATTGCGCGCCGTGCGAAGCCTCGTTAGGCTCAGAAGTCAGAAGGGCATGAACTTCCCGCGAAGCCTAATCTGGGGCAGTGGCCTCCGCTGCTCCGAGAACTGCTCCGCTGCTACGAGGTCCGATTCCCGTCCCCCGGCACCCCTCCCAGGAGCGCGCCGGCTTTGTGCCGACACCGATCCCTGGCAAGCCCATCCTGGGCTCAGGATCGGTGCGCGCCTTCCTGGCCAGGCCAGGAGGGCGCAGGAGCAGCATGGCCAGGACAGGCGCGTGTAGTGCGCGTCGTGCGAGGGCCCCCAAAGACTCCCCAGACTCACCGAGGTCCTGGGAGGCCTCTGGAGGCCTTCGGGAGGCCAGAAAAAGGGCAAAGTTGTCCCACGACCCGCCCATCGGCAGAGAGGTCGGAGGCATCGAAGGGCAGTCGACACAGTCTCATCGCGAAGCTTCCGACTGGGCGACCGGGGTGGAGACACGCCAGAGACAGCAGCCGAACCACGGTAAGGGTTGCTCATGCAATCGTCAGCCGCAGCAAGAACAAGGGGTTCAGACAGGCCGCACGAGCGTGCACGCTGTGGCACTGCGTCTCACTGCGGCACTCGTGGGGGAGCGCCAAGCTGGCACGGGGGTGGCGGTGTGAGGCAAGGGCCGCTTGTTCACCTTGATGTCTGCACACTTCGCCCTCGGGCCGCGGCGCCAGCCGGAGTGCCAACGAAAGGCGCCCTCGAGGCACCGCTGCGCAGCACGGCACGACACTGCACAGCACGCCACAGCGCGGCACCGCATGGCACCAACGGAATCCCAGATTGCTGAATCGAGACCTCGGTGCATCACGGCGTGGCACCAATGGCATGGCACGGCACGAGCGGCACAACACTGCGGCACGGCTCAGCACTGCACACAGTGAGGACAAGGAAGAACCCTGCACGAGCAGAACTGTCGGAGGTCCGCGCGGATTTCTTGGATCCGCGCTGGACCCCCAGGGGCGGTTCCAGGGGCGCCGCCAGGGGCCGTCCAGCGCGGCGCGTGCACGCCCCCGTCGTTCTCGAACGGATTTTTGTCGACGGCCGCCGGCCTCTGGAGGCCGTCACGGATTCTGCCTGGCGGCCCCCAGATCTGAGGGACTTGCTACAGCAGCACGTCGGCCACAACAAACCTCCTCACAAGCCACACCCTGAAGTCCAAGGAGACTGATGGATTCAGGGTGTGGGAATCCTGGGCTTCCCAAAATCTCCTACAACATAAGACGAAACCCAGGCCACCTGGCAGAACAGAAGCGGTTTCTTGATATGCGTCCACACTGCATCCTCCTCCCTCACCTGCTGCAAGGAAGCAGAAGACGGCGGACCTCCGCGGAGACGTAGACGTCGAAGCTCCCCTCCTGCGCCGCGGCGTACAGGGTAGCAGCAAGCACCCCACAACGATGGCAGAAGGAGATATCAATGACCGGGCCAGGGAAAAAGCAAAACTGCGGGGCAGCGTCATTACAACACTCCGCGAAGCAAGCTTCATGCAAGTTTTGCCGATCCCCCTTGGCCCTAATTTCCATGTTCAGTTCCGCGCGCGGCGCGGTCTGCGGACGCCAACGAAGATTATGAAGTACTGTGTTCCGGCATCCACTTTCCAATGTGGGGGTCTGGGGGCGCCAACGCGGCGTAGAAGAAAACGCGCCAGGTTTCCGGCCGGTCGCCAGGATCGACACATCGCGGCGCAGCCTGCCAGAATTAAGTTGGGGGCGCGGGGGGGTAAGACGAGGCCACGACGAGGATCAAATCGGGTGAGGATAAATCGAGAATCTCCGAGATCTGATGGATCTAGAAGATGTCTCGGGCACCGCGGCCTTCTCAGAGCGTTCCAGAACGCTCTGAGAGCGTTCTGGAACGCTCCGGAACGGATTTATCCTCGTCCTAGCCCTCCCCCTGAGGGGGGTCACAAAAAGAAGCACAAACGCTTCCAGATGCCATCCATCAGCCGGACCGCGGCAAGGGGTGGATTCGAAGGAGCTTAGGGGGGCTGGGGCGGGCCGTCGGGCGGGGCGGTACGGGGGGAAGACTGTCGAACAGCTCGGAGTTAGGAGCTCGACCACAAGAAACCTTCCACAAGAAACCTAACCCTGAGACCCCAGGACGTCCACCGATTTTTGGTGTGGGAGCCTCACGCTTTCCATCGCAAAACAATCGAAACGCAAGAAACCCAGGGCACCCTGGAGGCAAGCAGGGTGTTTCCTGCCGGGGTTTCCACTGTATGTGCCCAAGGCGGCCGACCCAGTTCTGGACAACCGAGATCGGGGATGCACCCCCGCCTGGAAAAAGGTCAGCACGCCTACCGCGGGGCACAACTTGCACGACCAGCACGCTGCCTGGAAGCCTGATGCGCCAACGATGCGTGCCCTTCGGAGAGATGGCATGCCAGCAGCCCCCAGAAAGCGCGAGACCCGAGCAGAAGCCTGCCCCGAGCCGGGGAGGCAAGGCGCCCGCAACAGGGGGGGGGAACGTTGTCACCAAGCCATGTCAACAAACGCGCATCGGCCACAGTGCCGTAGGCATTGAGCGTGGAGTGTCTTCAGCTCCTCGGCGGCCCTCATTCGTAGATTGCACGGCAGAAACAGACAGAGCCCGCGCACGCGAGTCCGCGCGAGAAGGCCGGGCGGGTCGGGGGCCAGAGCACCCCAGAAAGCACTAGATATTCGCTGCCGCGAGGCAGCGTCCGCAACCCCTGGCAGAAGACAAGGTTCTCCCAGACCTCTCTAGACTCCAAAGAGCTCCTCAGGGCTCTCGCGGACGGTCGCGTGGCTTTGCCAGGGGCCTCCGTCCCCTGGTTCGGCACCCAAGCTTCCAGCTTGCACCCGAAGCTGGTCCCGTGGCCCCGTCCCAGAGCCGTCTTGAGGGCATCTTGGCCCACTTACCCAAGAGTCCAAGCTCGCTCAACGCACGCATGCTTTGTATGAGCCGCTCCTCAAACATCCCCGCCTCTATCGCAATCGGGTCTGTGGCTTCTTCCGCGATTCGCTCCAACGCCAGCTCCACTGGCCTCCCCACAACGCCCATCACGCGAACGTTCGGCCTATGTACAAAGTAATCGGCATCTCCTGCCCCAATGTTTGAGCATCGGCATCCCCATCATGCGCCTAGCCTTGATCAAACTCACAGCGCCCTCCCAGCGGCCCTCCCTGGCCCGACTCGGCCAGGCTCGCCCAGTGGCCGAACCGCAGTTCCACTGCTCTCTCAGGCAGGCGCTCTCTCAGCGCTGGGATCGGTTGCTGGCGTACAAAGACCGCCATGATCGCCCTGTCTCGCCACAAGGCCACGAACCTTCCTGGAACATTTCACGCAGGAGCCTCGCGATCATGCTCGGAGGTGCTACACTCCTATACGTACTCAGGGTCTGGCGCTGTCACCTCCCTCGTCACCCACGTGCGCCGAACGAACTCGTTGCTCGAGGGAATCACCAATGCGCGAAGAGCAGACATCACTTCCTGGCAGAACACGACCTGCCCCCTCTCCAATCCGCCACTGTACCTCTAGGCACGGAGAGGGCGTGCCCTCAGGTCCTTCGCCCACTCCCCCGAGCCTCAGTCCTCAGTCCTAAGAAGTCATTGAGGGCCCCGGACCCAAAATTCTCAAATCTCTGGGAGGGCTTGTCGCGGCATGTCGCGTGACTTTAAGGCGCCCACGAGGGCCCCAAGACGTGCCAAGAGGGCCCCAAGAGACCCCCAAGACGGACCAAGAGAAGCCCGAGACGCCGAAACATCGCCCCAAGACACCGAATATGGCCCCCACGCGGCCGAAGAGGCCGCCAAGATGGCCCAAGAGGCATCCCCAGAGGGCCCCGAGAGGCCAAAACCGTTGATTGTCTGAAGGTTTCGAAGGGTTTGGGCATTCTCGCCTTTTCGACTCCCCGACGCTCCCAGACGGCCCTAGAGGCCCCCAAGACCGCCCCAAGACGGCCCAAGAGGCCTACAAGACCGCCCCAAGACGGCCCAGGAGGGCCCCCAGACAGCCCAAGAGGCACCCAAAACAGCCCAAGAAGGCCCCAAGACGGCCCCAAAAGGGGCCCAAAAGAGGGAACGCAAACGGAAAATCCGAGCCTTCCGCCCCAAGACCCCCAGGAGGCTCCAAGAGGCCCCCAGAAGGCCCCCCAGAGGCCCCCAGGAGGCCCCCAAGAGGCCCCCAAGAGGCCCCACGAAGCCCTAAAGATGCCCAAAAGAGACCCCAACAGGCCCCCTAAACTGCCCCAGAGAGGCACCGAAACTGCCCTCAAGAAGCCCCCGAAAAGCCTCCCACGAGATCCCAACGGACATCGAATTGGCTCCATACCCACAACCTAGGTACGGTGTCGGGATAGGGCGAAGGCCATTAGATACGATCGCCTCGTCGGCGCCGCCGCCCACGTCGGTCTCGCCGTCCACGCCTGGCACCACCTCGCGAACTCGATCCTCTGATCGCCCTCGCCCTCTGATCCTCCCGCGAACCTAAATATCCACGGGTTGAACATGGCGTCGATCGCCTGGTCGGTGCCGCCGCCCACGTCGGCCTCGCCGCCCACGTCTCGGAGGAGGGCCAGCTGAGACAGCGGCGGCTCTCCCACCCTGCCCAAACCAGCTCAAAATCGGTCCCCGGACCCCTCCTCCTCCTCCTCCTCCTCCTCCTCCTCCTCCTGCTCGTCCTCCTCCTCCTCCTCCTCCTCCTCCTCCTTCTCCTCCTCCTCCTCCTCCTCCTCCTCCTCCATCCTGACCCAGTTTTCGAGCGGATCCAGCCTTCGCGACGAGGATCCCCAGGGGAGGCCCCAGAAGAGGGCGGGAAACGCCAGGGAGGGCCGCCGTTGTCTCGACTGGCCCTCCTACGACCGTCGGTCTTGGCTTCCACGTCGGCCTCGCCGTCCACGGAGGAGGAGGAGGAGGAGGAGGAGGAGGAGGAGCGAACTCGATCCTCTGATCCCACGGCGCTCGGGGCTGCGGGACCGGACCCGTAGGCAGCGGCGCCGCGAGCTCCGCTGCCATGGCACGGTGTGTTGCCGCGCACACATGGGGAGTCATTGGTGGTGTTGCCATGTTCCAGCTCTGCGATGTTTGGCTCTGCCCGTTCACCCAGCGATCCACTGTGCCTCATATCGTGTTGCTCAGGGGATGTCCTCCTCGAGTCCGAGTACAAACCACCACGGAAGAGAGCTTCCCGAACGTCTGCCTGTCCAAGCAGGGGGGCCTTGAAGCAGACCCCCCGAAGTCAAATCTGGTTTGGTTGAAACATGTCACCATTTCATTGGTTGTTGAAGGGGAACTGGGACACACAAATAACAGACACAAATCGGAGGTGAGGGGGTGAGATCGAAGTGGAACGGAGAGCCCCCTACCGGGAAATCGATTTCGGTTTCGTGTTCGTGCGTGCCGTGCGCGCGGGCAAGGCGAAGCTGCGTGGGCGGGCGAGAGGAAAGTCTCCTGTGGCTGAGGCGCGGCCGGACCAAATGTGTCTCTTCCGGGCGGCCGGTGGCGCGCGCTGTCCCGCCGGTGTCCCGCTGGTGTCCCGTCGGTGTCCCTGTGGCTGAGGCGCGGCCGGACCAAATGTGTCTCTTCCGGGCGGCCGGTGGCGCGCGGTGTCCCGCCGGTGTCCCGCCGGTGTCCCGCGGTGTCCCGCGGTGTCCCGCGGTGCCCCGCGGTGTCCCGCCGGGTCCCGCGATGATGATGATGATGATGATGATGATGATGATGATGATGATGATGATGATGATGATGATGATGATGATGATGATGATGATGATGATGATGATGATGATGATGATGATATGATGATGATGATGATGATGATGATGATGATGATGATGATGATGGTGGTGATGCTGATGATGAAGATGCTGATGATGCTGATGATGACGATGATGATGATGATTGTGATGCTGATGATAATGATGAGGACGATGATGATGATGATGATATGATGATGGTGTCCCGATAATGATGATGATGATATCGATGATGATGATGATGATGATGATGATGATGATGATGATGATGATGATGATGATGATGATGATGCTGATGGTGTCCCGATGATGAGGATGATGATGATGATCATGATGATTATGTTGATGATCATGATGATGACGATGATGGTGTCCCGATGGTGATGAGTATGATGATGCTAATGTTGATGATGCTGATTATGATTGTGTCCCGATGATGATGATCTTGATGATGATGAGGTTGATGATTATGGCGTCCCGATGATGATGACTATTCTGATGGTGATGATGATGATGATGTTGATGATGATGGCGTCCCGATGGTGATGATGATGATGATGATGTTGATGCTGATGTTGGTAATGATGATGATGGTGCCCCGATATTGACGATGTTGATGATGATGCTGATGATGCTGATGATGATGATGTCGATGATGAGGATGAGATGATGATGATGGTGTTCCGATGATGATGATGATGATAACGATGGTGATCATGATGGTGTCCCGATGATGATGATGCTGCTGCTGATGATGATGACGATGACTGTGTCCCGATGCTGCTGATGATGGTGATGTTGATGATGATGATGATTGTGATGATGGTGATGATGATGATGATGGTGGTGTCCCGATGATGTTGATGACCGTGATGATGATGATGTTGGTGTTGATGATGAGGACGGTGTCCCGATTATGATGATGTTGGTGATGATGATGTTGATGTTGATGTTGTTGTTGATGATGATGATGATGACGTTAATTGTGATAGCGGTTGTGATATCGATAGTGAGATCGATAGTGAGACCGAATGTGATATCGATTGTTGGATCGATTGTGAGATCGATTGTGAGATCGATAGTCAGATCAATTGTGAGATAGATCGAGTGAGATCGATTGTGAGATCGATCGAGGGAGATCGATCGAGCGAGACCGATACTGAGATCGATAGTGAGATCGATAGTGAGACCGATCGAGTGAGACGTTGGTTCCTCCCCCCCCCGAACCTCTTTATCACCCGAAGGGTGGTCGTATAGGTAACCAGATTCCCCATATTTTCCCGTATGTTCTGGGTTTTTGTCTTTCCCCCCCACTTCCCATATTTCCCACATTTTCTGGGGAATCGACGATTAATTGTGTCTGTGTGTTTTCCCCCCCTGAGTTGTGGCATTTCCCTACTTTTCGGATTTTCATTGGCCTCTGTGGCATTCGCTTCTCCACAGGTTGGCCCCAAGATAGCCCCCCATGCGGGCCCAGAACAACCAAACATCAAAGCCAGGAATGCACCGAAGAGGGCCCTCAGAGATCCCCAACAGCCCAGCGATGTGCGAAAGGCGCGGCCGGAGTAAGCTGCGACATAGACCCACTGACTGGGCTTGCCGAGTCCTAGGTCTTGTTATCTTGTTGTGTGCCTCTCGATTGAGTCTTTCCGCTTGGAATCTCCGACGGGCCCAGAGTGGCCACTTCAAACTGCCCGGCAATCCTCGGGACATCCTCTGAGTCCAGAGCATGAAGAGGAGGAGCCTGGAGGCGCAGGGAAAAAGGGGTACAAACAGCCTGCAGGCGGGGGGAAATAGCAGAGAGGATGTGGGGGAGGAGCAGACAAAAGGACGGCGGCCCAAGTGCGATAACCAGTTCAAGTGCGAAACCAAAAAAACAGCTCAAACGCGAACAAGGGCGATCACCAGTTCAAATTGCGATACAAATAGTGGGCCATGGCGCTATATCGCACACGAGCCGCGCGGAAGAGAAGAGAAGAGAAGCCTTATGCGAACCTGCGTGCGGCACCACCCCAGGCACCGCCCCGCTGGACCAACAAGTGCGCAGGAAAGCGGCGGCTGCTGCACGCGAATTCCACGTGGATCTAAGCACAGCGCCACTCCGCGGGCCCCAGGATCGCGCAAAGCTGGCGACCCATGCACGCTTGGCCACACCCATGGGGTGCGAGGTCTCGTGTGAATCTGAATGCGGCCGGCATCATTCCAGTGAACTCCCGCAGGGGGCGCGGGAAGTGCCGACGCTGTTGTTGGCAGCACCGAAGGCGCGAGATCAGATCTGGATATGAGTACGCAACCCCCCACACACACACACACACACACACACACACACACACACACACACACACACACACACACACACGTATCCTCCCCCTGCTTCCCCCCCAACCCCCTCTCCCCATTCTGCCCCACGTCCCCCCCCCCACATCCTGCACGACGTAGAAGTAGTCGGCATTGAGGTCGCCCTCCTTGATGAGCTCCTGCGCCGGGCCCCCCCGCGCTGGGGGGAGGGTTGGGGGGCCGCGAGGCTCCTGCCTGCTGCAAGCCCACGAAACTCGCTCCACCTTTCGCCATCCACCAGCGGCTCTCCCTCGCGCACGCAGGAGGCACCCGTCCGCCACGAGCGTGCCCGACCAAGGCCACCCTGGGCCCAGGCACGGTGTGACTAATATACCCTTCCCAGCCGAGGCCTTCCCGGCCCTGGCCAGGCACGGCGGCAGCGCACAGACGCCGCCTGCGGCTCTCTCGAAACGGAGCTAGGGCTATGCTGTTCCCGTCCTTCTCAAGGACCGCATTCTGTCGAAACAATGTCGGGCGAGTATCTCCCAGGGCCCGACACGTGAAAATCCTTGAGTTTCGGTACTTTTTTGGGCGCTCGAAATTCTTCCGGGTGATCAAGGCTAAAGTAGGTTGGAGCATCATAAAGCTAGGGCCGGGACAGCATCGGACCCGGATAAATCGGGGATCTCTGTAACCTAGCAGCTCTGGAAGGTGTATCGAGCGCCGCGGCCGTTCCAGAACGCTCCACAACGCCCTGAAGGCATTCCGGAACGCTCTCTGGAGCGATGCCCGACTCCGGATCCGCCGTGCTGCGGTTGATTGTCCAGCTTGACATTGTATCTGAAATGAACCCCGAACGATGCAAACAAATGAGGCTGACATTTCCGCCTCAGAAGAGTAGGGCGGATATTTCCGCAAATGTATAACGGAAACAGCGACGGCAACGTAGTGTGGAAATCGGCATCAACTAAGCTTGAAAAGTGGGGCGCAAAGTTCCGCCCTTCTCACGAAATTGCCCAAAACATACTGCGAATCCGGAGTCAGGGGTAGGTGGCGGCATCCAGACCCTACCCCCACCAACCATCGAGCCTCCTGATCCAGCGCGAGGCGGGAGTAATGTTCGGAAACCCGCCATGTGATCGAAGAATTCCGAACGCCACATTAGCTCGGTCACAAGAAACCTTCCACAAGAAACCCACGCCGAGACCCCAGGACGCCCACCGATTTTTGGTGCGGGAACGCCACGCTTCCAATAGCAGAAACATCGAAACTCACGAAACCCAGGGCACCCTGGAGGCAAGCAGGGTGTTTCTTGCCGGGGTTTCCACTGTATGTACCCAAGGCCGCGGCCATCACGCGGCGGCCGACCATTCTGGACAACTGAGATCTCACGGGGATGCACCCCCGCCTGGAAAAAGGTCAGCACGCCTACCGCGGGGCACAACTTGCACGACCAGTACGCTGCCTGGAAGCCTGATGCGTCAATGATGCGTCAATGATGCGTCACTGATGCGGCAATGGTGCTTCTTGGCACGGATTTCAACTGAACCCCCGCCGCCCATCGAGTTGCCTGAATCGTTGATCGGCGAGGGCAGAGGCCCGGACTTCGCCCCCGAGGGGGATCCCCTGGTGCCCGCCCGCCTCGTCCCGAGGAGGCACACCCGCGACCACACACATGCTCGGCGGGCCAGGCCGGAGGTCGGCGCCGCAGCACGCCGCGGGGGCGGCGCGCGGGCGTGCGCGCGGGCATGTGCAGATCGGCGCGCCTGCGCGCTCCGCCAGCCAGGCCTGGGACAAGATGGCGAGCACTCACGCCACATTCCCGGAGTGCTCCCTGAGAGCTAAGAGGGCTTCGGCTCAGAGGCCGGCACCGAAGGGTAGCCCTGGAGCTCGTTCCGGCTTCCGGCAGGACACCTCGGCGCAACCTGCCTGAAGCCGCAGCGTGTCCCGAGAAGCCAGTTCTGATTGTTTCCCGATACGTCTGCCTGGAAGCTCTCCAGAAGCTCCTCCGGAAGCTCCTCCCAGGAGCTTCCAGAGCTCTCTCCCCAGGCTGTCGGAAAGCCTTTCTGGCACTCCGCTATCCGGGTTTGGGACTCCACAATTTCATCGGCAATGCTTCCCGATCCTCCCAATGTTAAAAAAATTGGCGGTGGGTCTGATGAGTTGCACTTCGGCCGCAGTCTCCTCCCCGCGTGCCAGCTTCGAGTTTGAGGGGTGCCCACGAATGATTTCTCTCCACTGGAGGACGCTCAGAGACAGAACACCGCACAATCTGGTGCGAGTCGGGGCAATCAAGCCCGGTTGAGGGGCCACTCCGCCGCATCAGGCTGGACTGAGCCCAGGATTGATCTGGATCTGCGCGGCGCTAGACCGGATGGAGCGGGCCACTGCGCAAAACACCGCGCACGCTCCTCCGATGCTCGGTCACAGAATCGCGCGCGCGCGGGGGGGGGACGCCTGGGCGCGCGCGCAGGGCAGCACGGGGGCGCTGGGCGCCTGGTCTTTCTCGACCTCCTCTTTCCACATTCTGTCGATGACTAACCTGGCATGCAGGGCAAGCGGCTACGAGAGACCAAGGCCCGGAGTCCCAGAGAAAGGGGCCAATGCCAGCCAGCCAAACTCTCGCCTGGAACCTGGCACTTGCCTGAAGCGGGCTCCAAGAAGCCGAAGGTAAGCGAGCACAGTTGTCCCAGAAGCTCCACGACCTCCGAGGTTAGCATGGAAGGGAAGCCAGGTATCCGAGGTGGCAGGGCCAACCTTAGCAATGCTTACAAAAATGAAGGACGTTCGTTGGTCTCTCTACCTCCCCTTCTCTGTCAGCCTCATCCAACGAAGACACTCCTGAGCCAACCTTGGACCATGGGCCAACTTCGATGGCTACTCCAGGGAACTTAATGTGGTGTCCACTAGCAATCTGCTGCCAGGCGAAACTGCTTCCCGCACACCCAGGAAAGGTACAAAATTACCTGGAGAGATCCCGAACATGCCCATGCCCAATCGGCCATGCACCGAAGGCACACCACTAGGGTCGCCCCGTCCGAACCATCAAGTGATACACACTTGTGCTAGAGCCTGAAGGGACTTGAGGGTCAAGCTTGTAGAGACACCTGCAGATACCCCCTGAGGGCCAGGTGGCAGCAAGGCAAACCCTCAGATAGCCCTCGCAACACTAGACTTCTGAGACAAAAAAATACCCCTGTGCGACCCTACCTAGAAGTTGGAGCCCCTAGGAAAGCAGCATTAGCTGCTATGCTATGCTATGCTATGATATGCTATGCTATGCTATGCTATGCTATGCTATGCCATGCTATGCTGCGCTATGCTATGCTATGCTATGCTATGCTATGTTATGATATGATATGATATGTTATGATATGCTGCGGTATGCTATGCTATGATGTGCTATGATATGGTATGCTATGCTATGCGATGCTATGCTAAGCTATGTTATGTCATGCTGCGCTGTGCTATGCTAAGCTATGCTATGTTATGCTATGCTATGCTAAGCTGCGCTATGCTATGCTATGCTTTGCTAAGTTAAGATGAAATAAGCTAAGCTAAGATGAGATAAGCAACGCTAAGCTAAGGGAACGTCACTGGGGGAACCGCGGGGCGGATCCTGGGGGAACCGCCCAGGGCGTTTTGCACTGCCCAGCCCCTTTAAGCTAACACAGTAAGAACCCTTCTAGGCAGAGCCTAGGTAGGGAACAAGCGGTGACGGACGACGACGGGCTTCTCAGGGGCAGGAAGCTTGAAACGCTGCACACCCTCCTCGAGGCGAAGCGCAGGCCAAAGGAACAGACGCTTAATCGCCAGCACGCCCACCGCTCTCGCCACAGCAATGCTCTGATCGATCGAGGGACTCCCTAAGCAACGCATCACGCTGAGGATGGATATGCACCCCAATCTTCGCCGAGGCGTCAAACATATTGACACGTAGACGTGTGAACGTACTGGCCACAACCAGCTTGCATCCTTTTTATGAGAAGCCTGATTGCCCCAAGATACCAAACGCATTCACTTACACACACATATGATACCGGAGAAAAACCCCAATCAGGGCTACAGGGCTAGGGGGCTATAGTGCTATAGGGCTATTGAGCTACAGGCCTATAGAGCTATAGGGCTATAGAGTTGTAGGGTCATAGGGCTATTGGGCTAATTGGGCTATAGGGCTATAGGGCTTAGGGCTATTCCTCTTCGTCGTCTTCGTTCTACTTCTCCCCCTCCTCGAAGTCAAGCGTCGTTCGAATTTTCAAAGTCATAACGAGCATCAACAGCATCAGGATCGTCATCATCATCATCAGCAGCATCATCACCACCACCACCATCATCATCAGCAGCAGCAGCAGCATCATCATAATATGTATCATCATCATCATCATCATCATCATCATCATCATCATCATCATCATCATCATCATCATCATCATCATAATCAGCATCGTCATCGTCATCATCATCGTCATCATCATAATCAGCATTGTAATTAGTATGGTCACAGCCATCGCCATCGTCATCATCACCATCGTCATCTTCATCGCCGTCACCATCGTCGTCAGTATCGTCACCATCGTCATCATCATCGTCATCATAATAGTAATGGTCATCGCCATCATCATCATCATGATCATCATCATCATCATCACCATCATCATCGTCGTCATCATCATGACGATTACTATCACCATCATCGTAATCGTTTTCGTCTTCATCGTCATCGTCATCGTCACCGTCGTCATCGTCATCGTCACCACCATCATCATCAACATCATCATCAGCAGCATAATCATCACTGAGTATGATAGGTCGGCGGTGGGACTTACCACAGGCAGGTGGGAAAAGTAGGCGGGCGGGCGGGAATCAGGTGTCATGTGTTTCTGGAGTGCGGGCCGACGGCAGCAAGTATGAGGTTGAACACTGGATCTTTCCGTTGTCCAGAAGAACGGAACGCATGAGGGAGGCGGAGAGACGAAGGCGAGAAGGAGAGACGAGGTGGAGGGAGGAGGGAAGATGACGCAGCGGGGAGGAGGGAGGCGGAGAGAAAGGAGAAGAATGTGGAACGTGAAGCGCAAGCAACCCAAGAGCAGGAGAGAGAGCAAAGAGAACGGACAACGAGGGATAGGGGAAACAGAAACGCACTCGGGGGCACGCAGAAACCTGGAACAGGAAGGA